ACTCGGCAAGCTAGGCAGAGACTGCTGCTGTGCAGGAGCCTCCGCGGCAATGGCGGCGCAACCCCTACGTCCCCCTAAACCCTAAACCCTAAACCCTAAACCCTAAACCCTAAACCCTATACCCTACGGGGATGAGGATTTATGGGGGGTTTTGGGGTTGAAGAGGTTTCTACAGGCTTTATAGGTTCTAGAGGGTTAGGGTTGTAGGGCGAAGGGCTTGGAACCCTAAAAGTGGGGAAGTCTACCTATGAATCCTATGAATGAATGAATCAGTGTGGAGATGAGGGCCCAAACCTCAAGCCCTAAACCCTAGAAACCCTAAACCCTAAGCCCATACCCTAAAACCCTAAACGATTAGGGCTTCGGGCAGAGCCCAGCTCCCCAGTCGCCTGGGAAGAGCGCACCCGTTTGGCTTGTTCCATAGGGGTTCATTGGGAAGCCCGGAGCCCAAAAGGCAAAAAGGAAGGAAGAAAGGGGCTTAGGGTTCGGTAGGCTAACCCTAAACCCTAAACCCTAAACCCTAAACCCTAAACCCTAAACCCTAAACCGCCCAACCAACCCCCCCCCCCCCCCGCCCCCCCACCTCACTTGAACTTCGAAGGCATCGAGTTGAGTGTTGCCATTTCGGCACTCTGCTGGCATTCCAGGTGCTCATCTGCCTGGACGTGGCCCTAAAACCTAAACCCTGAACAAACTCTAACCCCAAACCCTAAACTCTAACCCCAAACCGACAACGATCCCTGAAGAAAGCCTAAACGGAACACAACACAACCACAAGTCGCCTACACTTGGAAATCTAGATGATTAGATATGACTTGGTAGCCTTCCTTGTCCAAAACAGAAGCCGACCAGGCTCCCCGAACTTATGCACCCTATAAACCCTAAACCCTAAACCCTCAACCCTAAACCCTAAACCCTAAACCCTAAGCCCTAAGCCCTGAACCGCATAGCAGCGCGCCAGGAGCCTTCCAGCCTCTTTAAGCCCCTTTAGACCCTCTGAGAAATGTCTGGGATGCTGCGAAGCCCAATGAGTGAAACACAAATTCTTCCTTAGAAGGGTAATAAGGTTCAGGGTTTAGGGTTTAGGTTCCCTGTTATATCGCCTCTTTCTAAACTACATATACTAAGGGCCAGGGACCATACTAAGGGGCCCATACTAAGGGGCCCATGCTACTATTTGCTTAAGAACCCTAAAAGAATTTAACAAAAAAATGAATAATTATAATTATAACAATAAAACATTACTCCCTATATTACCCTTACAAGGAAGAATATTTTTCGGGGGGATTCTTCAGCAATTTCTAGCATGGTTCCAACCTTAGATATCATGGAGGATTGTCCAGGCTTAGGCATTCGAAATTTCGTGCTTTGCTAGGGTTTAGGGTTTAGGGTTTAGGGTTTAGGGTTTAGGGTTTAGGGTTTAGGGTTTAGGGAACCCTCGGAAACATATTCCTACATATGATCCTCGTACACCCAATATCGGAAAACTGTGAAAATATCCCAAGGGCCTACCGAGTTTGTGCCTCGGGGAGTTGCGGTATTTTTTCTTAGGCTTGATGATTGTGGAGTTCGGGTTTCAGGCTCAGGTTTTTGTTTGGACATGCACTTCGGGGTTTGACTTGTTGAGCCAGTTTCGCGCTTAGGTTTCCCCCCAGTATAAGCTTGGGATTCTCCAAAGTTCTCGGGTTCAAGGGCAAACTTGGGGGGTTTGGGGTTTAAGATTTTCGTGCTTACGGCTTTAGGGTTTAGGGCTTGTTTAGGATTTGTAGGGTTGTTGTGGGGTATTAGGGCTTGAAGCTGACTGTCTAGGTTGGAGGACTAGAACTTGCAGGCCGAAGGGTTCGCCATGAAGCAGCAAGTTTAGGGTTTAGGGTTTAGGGTTTAGGGCTTGGGGTTTAGGGTTTAGGGTTTAGGGTTTAGGGTTTAGGGTTTAGGGTTTAGGGTTTAGGGTTTAGGGTTTAGGGTTTAGGGTTTAGGGTTTAGGAATGTTCGCCTTTGATGTTTTCCAGGGGCTTTGCTCGAAGCTTCGAGCTGATCTACTCAGACTGTGGGTAGTTCTCTGAATTTGGGTTTCTTTTGGGCTCCTATAGGTTTAGGGTTTAGGGTTTAGGGTTTAGGGTTTAGGGTTTAGGGTTTAGGGTTTAGGGTTTAGGGTTTAGGGTTTAGGGTTTGGGGGTTACGTTTCAGGGATATATAATACAGAGTACGGCACCTAGAAAAAAGGATCCCCAAAGGGACCCTAATTTAGAGAACTACCCATGTAGGGTTTGGGGGGTATAAGGCTCTAAAGCTGCCCGAAGCTCCGAGCCCCGAGCCCACCCTCAACCAAAACCCCTAAAACCCCTAAACCCCTGAAACCCCTGAAACCCCTAAAACCCCTAAAACCCCTAAAACCCCTAAAACCCCTAAAACCCCTAAAACCCCTAAAACCCCTAAAACCCCTAAAACCCCTAAAACCCCTGAAACCCCTGAAACCCCTAAAACCCCTAAAACCCCTGAAACCCCTAAAACCCCTAAAACCCCTAAAACCCCTAAAACCCCTAATACACCTAAAACACCAAACCCTCACCCGAAATCCCCGAACCCTAAAACTTGGGATGTCCCCCCCTATACTAACAGTCCTTAATAGGGATTCTAGTACCCAATCCCCAAAACCCAAAACCCAAACCCAAAATCCAAAACCCTAAACCCTGAATCCCAAACAACACCGAAAGCCCAACAACAACAAAAGACCCTAAGTCCTAAACCCTAAACCCTAAACCCTAAACCCTAAACCCTAAACCCCATGTCCGAGGCCGCAGCCGACTTGAAGGGGTGGAAGGCCACCTTCTTCGCGTCGGAACAGGACCGCCAACCTGGGGTTTAGGGTTTAGGGTTTAGGGTTTAGGGTTTAGGGTTTAGGGTTTAGGGCTTAGGGTTTAGGGCTCATTGTTCTTTTCTCCCAATTACCTGGGGCGGCAATTACCTACGATTTCTGTGTTATATATATATATATATACATATATATATATTATTATTTTATTATTATTATTATTATTATTATTATTATTATTATTATTATGTTTTTTCTTTTTTTTTTTTTTTTTTTTTTTTGGGGGGGGGGGGTGGGGGTTCGTTTTGTAGAGTTTGGGAGTCAAAGGTAGACCCTCCCCCCCCCTCCCCTTGCCCAACCATTGTAGTGTTTTGGGTATCGGACTTGAGGGGTTTAGGGTTTATGGCTCAGGGGGCAATTCGTGGTCTCGGGTTTACGGTTAATGGGTTTAAGGGCTTACGGTCATCGCTTCTCAAGTTTGCGGTAATTGGGACGAATGCATTGAGAAGGCGCTGCTCCTTCTGAAAGCCACGCTCAGGAGGGATTGGTGGGGATGTTCCCGCTCATACTAGCAGTCCTTAATAGGGATTATAGTACCCCCTATTATAATCCCAATTAAGGACTCTTAGTAGAAGGGCTTATACTAACAGTCCTTAACTTTAATAGAGATTCTAGTACCGCCTGTTATAAGCCCCATTAAAGGACTGCTTTTTTTAGGGTGAGCATCCCAAGCTTTAGGTACTGAAGACCACTTTAAGTAGAAAGCCCATGGAAACTCCCTGGGGAGCAAACACAAGAAGCCAGAAACAGAAGAAAGCCAAAAGCCACAAAAGACCAGAGACAAAGGCCAGGAGGCCGAGAAAGCCAAAGGCGCCAAGAAACCAAGAAGTTCGAAGTCGAGAAGCCACGAAGCCAAGCAGCCACGAAGCCAACCAGCCGAAAGCCCAGAAGCCAGGGAGCTAAACAAAAACACAACGCCGAAACCCAAGAACAACATAAATTCAAAAGCAAAAACACCCAACTGATTTCACCTCTAACGTTGAAAAGCCCAACCATTCCCTCCACCCGCCTTCCGAAGGATCGCAATGAGCCTCCTCCAGCAAGTCGGGTTCGAATGCCTGAGTCTTGGTACAACCAAGGTTAGTGATTCAGGGTCTTTAGGGTTTCGGGTTTCGGGTTTCGGGTTTTTTGGGTTGCTGATAAGTAGGGTTATATGTAGGATAACTCTGGCTAGCGCCGGTTTAGGGTTTAGAAATTTGGGTTTGGAGTTTAGGTGTGTAGGTCTAAGCCAGGATGCCCGGTGTGAGTGCACGAAGCGCTTCAGGCACTGGTCCACCCACATGTCCTGGTTGAGTAAGATTCCACTATGCTGTGACGGTTTAGGGCTGAAGGGGTTAGGCACTGGTCAGAAGTTGTAGCCTTCGGATCTTGAGGGTGCACTTGCAGTAGTGTGACGGGAGTTTGGCCGGAAAACAATGCTAAACAGGGCTTTCGCGTACCGAAGACGTACTCATGTAACCATCAACGTCTCAGCTCCAAAAACCGTAACTGACACCCTACTTGGAGGTTCATGGGTACCTATTCGTAAAAAAAAACGAGTAACTATGGCTAGCACCTTACTTAGGTACCAAGCGCCCCTATAAGTCCCTATGAACGGTCCAAGTAACACCATGAACCCAAAATCCTTAAGCTCTTGACTTTAAACCCTACTAAACACAGTGCAACCCGACCCCCGCTTTTTTCTGGGCCGAAAGACTGGTAAAACTTCGCCGCAGAATCCGCAGACGTCAAGTCTGATTTGTAACTTACTTGCCTGGAACGTCGACGCCACATCGGTTGCTGGCTTTTGGGGCCCCCAGGTCGCCTTGCGGCCGCTACATTGAATATGCCAAACCCTAAGCCCTAGACCCTGTAAGCCCTAAGCCCTAAACCCTAAACCCTAAAACCTGAGCTCTATAAGCCCTAAACCCTAAACCCCTAAACAACACCTCAAGTTGTCTGAGGCCATCGATCTCCAGCTCCTCAGGTGCATCGAGGTTGGCTGACGACAAGTTAAGTTCACCATTAAGACTTAAACCTTAAACCCTAATTCCTAAACCCTGAATCCTAAACGCTAAAGCATCTTCTCGATCTCTGCACTGTTCACTTCTAGATATTTCTTCGATCGTTGTCCCGACTATAATCGTACTCATCTCGGACGAAGAGAAGGATCTGGCTCTGCGTCCGTTTCCCAAAGAAAGCCCAAAACCACTCCTGGCTTCGGGTTTAGGGCTTATCACTCAACATTCAAATAGGCTTCAGTGCTTCGGGTTTAGGTTTGCTGGTTTGTAGGCCTTCGGAATTCGGGTTCAACCGCCTCGGCCCCCGAAGCCCAACACCCTTAAGCCCCGGATATTCTAGTATAAAATATATAGGGGCCATAGGGTTTAGGGTTTAGGATTTAGGGTGTAGGGTTAGGGTCTAGGGGAAATGTTACTCGTAAGCACTTCCGACCCCTCGATTCCTCCCTGGTCGGTCCTCGCCCCACTGACAGTCACCACTGCACAGCTTTTGAAAGTAGTTGTAGCAGCCTACATGGAAGGGTTTAGGGTTTAGGGTTTAGGGTTTAGGGTTTAGGGTTTAGGGTGTAGGGTTTAGGGTCTAGGGTCTAGGGTTTGGTCAAGTTTCATCTGCACTGTTAAGGTTTAGGATCCGGCTATGCGCTGTTCGGGTTTATAGGATCTGGCTTAGGTTAGCGGACTCTTGTTTGTGGGTTTGCGGGGCCTGGAGTAAAGGATTTGGGGTTCAGGGTCGTCTGTGGAAGTTGCCAAAAGCTAAACCCTAAACCCTGAAACCTGAAACCCTAAAGGAATGCAAGGCGTGTACAGCGTTGGGGGACATGGGGTAGCGAATGCATTGCGCAACAAAAACTCACAGTACGTAGAGGAGGCTGAGAGATGTGCAGAACTTGATGACCAAGCGGGGGCATTATGTGACCAACAGCTGATTTCCCCAAAACGGGGTACCTGAGTGGGTCCTTACTATAAGGGAGTCCTACTATTTCGGTGTCTATAATGGGGGTCCGAATTGTCGCAAACCCCCAGATGATGAAACTGAAGGTTTCGGGTTTGTGGGCTTGCTAAGTTCAGGATTTGGGGGGGGGGGGGGGGTGTTTGGCTTTGGGATTTCATACCTTTGATGTCCTTAATATGCTAGGACCTACTGCACTTCAGGCCCTGAATACCCTTAATGCCCTTTGATACTTAACTTAATGCGTAGGCTTTGGGGTTGCAAAATGAAATCCACCGATGCCTGGGAAGCTGGTCGTCAGCGCCCGCACGGCGCTCTGCGAGAAGACTTCCAGCCTGTCGTTCTGAGTCGTTCTTGATTTGTTTCTAGGTTGAGGGTGTAGGGTTTAGGGTTTAGGGTGTAGGGTTTAAGGTTTAGGGTTTCGGGGGTATTCAGGGCAGGCATGAAGGGTAGTAAGGGTATGTCAGTGTATTACGGGTATGAAGCGGGTTAAGGCTCTGAAGGTGTTAAAGGATATGAAGTGTATTAAGGGCACTAATTAAGGGTTTTAGGATCATGAGAGGCATGAAGGGCATGAAGAGTAGGGTATTGGTATTGAGGGTCTGAAGGGTATTAAGGGTATGAAGTGTACTAAGGGTATTGAAGGTATGACGGGTGTTAAGTGTATTCAGGGTTTCAGGGTATTGAGGGTTTCAAGGATGTTAAGGAAACTAGGGGTGCCGGCATTCCTGGTATTCAGGGTATTAATGGCATTAAAGGATGTCAAGGGTTCTAGGGTATAAAGGGGATTTAGGGTTTAGGGTTTTCTTGTTCATTGTTGGGAAATTATCTAAAAATCTATACCTTATTGGGTTTAAGTACCCTTAACAATGAATGTTAGCCAACTATGACAAAGTTTTAGGGCTTAGCTTCAATGCTGGGGGGGGAACCGACCTTCTTGAATAAATGGGAATGAGGTATAAACCATAAACCCTAAACCCTCCTTTTTAGGGCTAATAGGGGCCCACTCTGGGGCTGTGGAATCCTCAAGGTTTTTGAGGGTCTAGGGTCTAGGGTTTAGGGCTCAGGGAGGAGTTTTTCTAAAGTCGCCCACGTATCTGGAACCATCCTGCATTCGGTAGTCAGGTCAAAGGCAGCGAGGTTTGCCCTAAACCCTAAACCCTAAACCGTAAACTCCAGCCCTACCGCAAGAAGCCCAAACTTGCCCTTTTGGTAGGCTACCAAAGCATCCTGGAAGAGTCTTTTACGAATAACCGAACAACCTATGAACAAGGGTTTAGGGTTTAGGGTTTAGCCTTAGATCAAAAACACCCTAAAACCCTAAATCCCTAAACCCTGAACCCCTCGAAGGAATCCGAGCCACTTGTAGTATCATAATTACCTAATTAAGTTCCATCTAGGTCAAACCCTAAACCCGAAAACCTAAACCCTAAACCCTAAACCCCGGGTTAAACCCCGAACAGGGTTTAGGGGAGACCCACTCTGGGTCCGAGCCACGAGAACGGAATACACAGGGAGGCCCACTGGATGAAGAACAACAAGACCGCACGCCCTGAACCCTAAACTCCGAAACCCGGGTCATCCCGAAGACCTAAAGCCCTTGGTCACTTTAGGGTTTGAGGTTTAGGGTTTAGGGTTTAGGTTTCAGGGTTTGGGGTCTAGGGTTTGAGGGTTTAGGGTTTAGGGTTGAGGGTTTAGGGTTTGAGGTTTAGGCAAACCCTAATCCCTGAAACTCTACACCCTCGAATTTATACCCCGAACCCTGCAACAAAAGGATCCTCTCCCTAAACTCTGAACCATGAATCTGTACCCTGCCCTAGTTTGGATTGGGGTTTCGGCCTAAGGCGGGCCCCTACCTAGGTAGGGTTCGCTTGCTTGGCTACTCCCACAGTGATGTGTACTTGCAGACTGGTGCGGAGAAAAGAACTTCGTAGATACATGGAAGATTGGCTTGTGGTCCAAATAATTTCCGAAATCCTGAATCCCAAACACCAAAAAGCGTCAAGGGCCCTTTGCTCCACCGAACCTTTCCGGGTTCAGGGTGTTCGCGAATTCTGTGCAGCTACCATGGACCCACTCATGAATGAAAAGCGAAGCTTTTCTCAAATCCGATCGCGGCATGCGCGCGCTTGTCGAGAATTGCATGTGGTTCCTCTAAGCATCTTCGGCTACTTCGGCAAGCGCTCGGGGGTACGAGACAAAGCAAAGCAACGCCCTACCTCCTATGCATAGTCGCCCAAAGACGTCTCCCTGAGCGCAGCCCCTCTCACAAACCTTGGCTGTGCTTCAGAAGAGTTTAGGGTTTAGGGTTTAGGGTTTAGGGCTTAGGGTGTAGGGTTTTTTAGGGCCTGGAGGGCTTAGGCTGCAACTCGAAACCTCAAGCCTTGGGATGCTTGCCCCTTATACTAACAGTCCTTAATAGGGATTATCGTAACCCCCCTGTTAGGTTTAGGGTTTAGGGTTTAGGGTTTAGGGTTTAGGGTTTAGGGTTTAGGGTTTAGGGTTTAGGGTTTAGGGTTTAGGGTTTAGGGTTTAGGGTTTAGGGTTTAGGGTTTAGGGTTTAGGGGTTTAGGGGAATCCCTACTAAGGACTGTTCGTATAAGGGGGAACATCCCAACCCCAAAGCCTACGCGCTTTGACGCGCCATGGCCCAGAGGACCCAATGCCCGTTCTCTGCCCTTGGCTCAAATCGGTTGGCCCTTGTAATCCTGAAGGGTGAAATTGGATGGAATTTCACTCCCAGACTCTACCTTGAATTCCTTCTCACAGAGAGCCTACCCAAAAGAAACTGACAGAGTTGGTGACCAGCTTCATCAACAAAGTGATCAACAAATCCAAAAAGCTTGTCGGTGTTCATCACGTCCTCCAGGGCCACAGGAAACTCACCGGCAGGGCGTCGCACGAGCTCGACCCTGTCGTCTTGCTCATCCAAAGCTGTAGTGAAGTACCTTCAGACAGGGGGTTCTACCTTGGACCCCTAAGGTTGTACCCTTGGGTTTTGGGGTCCCTTCTCAAGGATCCCTAAGGGAATATAGGGCCACAGTAGGAGTATATTAAGGGGAAGTACCTCAAGCCAGTTCGTCCATACTTGGAGAGACAGGCAAGTGGTAGTGAGAAGCAGCTCGACAGTCCTCAAACAGCCTAAACACTCTATAAAGATTGTAAAGTCCCAGGCGCATGGGAGCTGCAGGTATTCGGCAACCCCCTTGGAAGCTGCCGTTGAGTGAGAAGAGTGCCGCATGACGGTCCATGTCAAGAAGCCTGTGCCCCATGTCTTCGGCGTGGGCTTCAGGCTCTTGCTGGAGCTTGGGAAGATGCGTTTTACTGACACCGCCGGCTTGTGAACTCAAAGCGGTCAGATGTACTAAATCGTACTTCTCCAATAACCAAGGGTAAAAACAGGTTAAACTTTGATATTCCTACTAAATAGGGAAACCCAAAAAGTTTAAGGTCTAACTAAAGGCGAAGTAAGAAATATGGCTTCGAATACAGCATCAAAAGCATAGAGCTGCTCAACAAAGGGCCCAGAAGCAAGCCGATCACATCGCCACCTGGATTGGTCAAGGCCGTAAGATACGCTACGGGCTGCGGGTATGCTGCCGTATCTTTGGCGGTAGGATAAAACGGGGGCCTGGCCCTCTTTCAAAAAGCATGTCTTTTTTGCGCTAGTTTCCCCGAAAGGACCAATCGCCAACAAAACCCTCAATATGAACCTTAATTACGTTGTTCTACGTCGTTAGACAGCCTCTTATTTGCTTCCACCCTGAGATAGAAATGCACGCCTGTGTCAGATTTGGGTATAAAATGAGGCTACGTGTCTAGGTACAGTTTACAGTGTAGGCTTTGGGGCTTGTGAACACTGAGTACATGAATACGACCTACACACCCTAAACCCTAAACCCTAAACCCTAAACCCTAAACCCTAAACCCTAAACCCTAAACCCTAAACCCTAAACCCTAAACAAACCGTACTGAATCGACTATGCCACTCTGCACCAGCGACATATCAAGCTTGTGGCATCTTTCGCTTGGAGCATCCAAACGGCCGCAAAGATCCTCGGTAGCCCAGTAACCATATCATGGTAAGGGTACCCTTTTTGGGGTTTGGCGACTTTATGAATAGGAGAACCTTAACCCAAAAAAAGGCAAAAGGGTCAACCCTAAACCCTAAACCCTAAACCCTAAACCCTTAACCCTTAACCAACTGGGCTACCAAGGATCTCTCCTCCGGCCAGAATAGTAGAAGAAACCTGCGCCGCCCCCTCCCGCCCTCCCGCCTTACCCTGTAACCCCCCCTCTCTTGCTTGTTCCAGAACCCTAAACCCTAAACCCTAAACCCTAAACACTAAACCTTAAACCCTAAACCCTAAGCAGAACTAACCGTAAGCCTGGAAGTACATGAACCCCAAATGGGAAAAAAAAACAGTCCAAATCTGCTACTGAACTTAAGACCACGACAAGGAAGCACTGAAGCACAATGACCCAGACCAGTAGATCTTTAACAACAGCGAAGGAGCCGGGCTCTCGTGCACCTCTGCAACCTGCCCTGTCTTTAGACATGGTCACTCCACACCACTGTTCCTCAGTTGTGCTTCAAGCCCATGGCAAACTCTTGATGCTTGGCTTCCTTCATCGAAAAAAGCGGAGCTACAAGAATAACACAGCCCAAGTTCATCCTGAACGGAATGCATGTGAAACTCTACGAAGTGAACACCTTCGCGGATCGGCACCTCAGTGAGGACGTTCATGTAGTCGTGTAATTCGCTCATGTACGTAATCGTTGCCCCATCCGGTGATCTGCTGCAGTTTAGGATGCCGCGCATGTCCCAAGTGAAGCAGGGCGTGTCGTCAACGATCGCAGACAACTCCACGACCCCCGAAATCCTTGGGGACGAAATGAACCCTAAAAGGGTTTATGGTTCATACACCTCAATAAGCCTCAAAGGGTCTATGGTTGATACACCTTTATTAGAATTATAGCAGTATAAGGTATATGACTCCAACTATCGGGTTCAATTTTGGTCCCCAAGGATCTCGTCCAGACTCTTGAGAGGCGCGCCGTCGCAGACCAGGGTGAGAAGTTCCGGCTGCACTCGGCATGCTTTGCCGGTCTCGCTCAGAAGCTCTTCGAAGGAGCTGGGAGTGGGCATCTCCAGCAAGAGGGAGCCCGCTAAGTTGCGAACCCTCACGCAGGAGACCATGGCAATGACTTCAGGGGCCTGGAAATGATTTGAAGTGCCTCAAGCCCTAACCTCTAAACCCTAAACCCTGAACCCTAAACCCTGAACCTTTTAAGGTGACCCCAAACCCTATAAACCCTGAGCCCTCGTAAGGA